CTGATAGCCAATCACGTTCGAGAATTTTGTTATAGTTTTGATTATTATTATAATCATATCTATGACAAAATTCTCGATCATGATTGGTTCTCTACACGCCTATTTGCCACATAATCGGCGCGCGATCATGTGGCTGTCCAATTACAGGCATCCAATTTGAACTTTTTGTAATTGGACACCTGTAATTGGATACCCACGTGATTTGCACATCAATTGCGTGCACTTTAGTGGCTTTCTTTGCAATGTTTCTTACAGTTTTCAAAACTTGTGAAATGCACTACATACGTTTTCGCTCAAAAGAAGTTCTCAAAAGACATTTTTAATTCCAAAATTTGTTATTGATACGATTAATTAGTAATTGGACCTCGTGTTGTTCAATTCAGGGAGAAATTGCACTCGTAATTTCAAATCGACCTGGCGCTTCACGCTCATCCGAGCTTGAAATTACTCGCGCAATTTCTCCCTGAATTGTACTCCACTCGGTCCAATTACTATTACTAATCGTATCTACATGTACATGTATAAACAAAATTTTCGATCATGATTGGTTCTCTGTGCATCTATTTGTGCATCTTGGATTGAGATGTTCCTGTCAAGATTCACATCACTCAATTACTATGAAGTTATTATTATTTTTTCACTTTTGGGGTGTATAGAAACAACACCATACACACTACCCACTCCCCTCAGTTCCTAATTTACTCACCTAGATTTGAACACTTGATCTCTCCGACTTTGTAGTCAGCCTTCAACTCCACCAAGCCATGCAAGCCAATTGTTGCAAATTTGCTTATATTTGTTGGTCTAATAAGTTATTGCTCCTTGACTCATCATTCCCCTTTGACACAAATTGGTGTAGGTTTAAATCATTCTGACCTACATGTAAAGAACAAATTGACCTGGAACAGGGCTTGTTTAAAACATGAACGACGAAATGTCACTATAAGTGGTTTGCCTAAAAAGCGCTTGGGTTAGCCTAAATATCATTGAATCACAGTGGTTAGTTCTCGATAATTATTAACCAAAGGTTAACCCTTACAGATGCCTGTATCCACATTGACTCTTACCCGTAGTGCCATTTCGTCATTTCATCATTTCGTGTTTTAAACACGTCCCCTACAACATATCTCTATACATTTACATTGTAGATTATTATTATAGAAGTGGAGTAAGCATTTCAGTTTTTATTTCCTTAATAATTCTCACAATAAACGCGAGAAGGCCAGAAATGCCACTTTGATTGTTGAAATGAAAGGTGAATCAACATACTTGACAAATCCTGAAGAACCAGAGGAAGAACCAAGAAAGTTTACATTTGACTTCAGCTACTGGTCCCATGATGGATTTGAAGAACGAGATGATGGTTACTTGGCTCCTTCAAAGCCAAATTATGCTGATCAGGTACAGCATCAAGATGACTATTTGGGGAAAAAATTAATTGTATATTGTAAATTACCATACAGCCAATCAGAAACCATCTTTACTATCCTAATATCCAGTGATATCAAGTTGCTGGGATTATGGCCAGAAAATAGGCACAGTCTTGTATCTCAGTATTGTTCGGTGGTACATCAGGCTCGCCAAACTACAAGCCATGCCTGACTTATCTTGCCTGATTTGCCACCGAAAAATACCAGACACAAACAAATGGGTATCAACATTAATTATCATTATTCTCCCAGTTTGGTGTGGATCTTACCACACCTACTTGTATCTACAGGTACTTTTCTCTCCTTTTCTCTCCTTTCCTGCCCTCCTCCAGTTATCCTCTTCTCCATACCCCTTAGCTTTTGTTGTTGGGTAATACAAAGTTACCCTCACAGTGTCTCGATCGTTATACTCAAGAATACAAAAATGTATTGGTGAACTATTTGGGTAACTAGATGTAAAAGGGGGGGGGGGGGGGTTTAAACTTAGTCTTAGCTTAGTCCGTTGTCATGTGACCATGAATAAACCTTGTGGGAAAACTGAGGATTTTGCTTTTCGTGTTTTCTTTTGTGTCACACATGATGGACTAAGCGAAAGAGGGATTACTCGTAGTCTAGGGACAGGAAGAAGAAAGATGCTAGGAATGAGATTAGCCGACAGTGTAGTTCCAAGAGGAATAGTAATCATAGTATTTTCATCATCTGTCATCCCTGCAGAGACTGGTTTAAGTTTATAATTGAGAGAGGAATGAAAAGAAGGAAAACAGATCAGATCAGTTGGGAAAGGGTAATTAGGCTGATTAGACATAGCCATAGCCATAGCCATAGTTTATTTTACTTGGACAACACACTTAGCTATGGTGACGGTGCATCCCATAGACTTAGGCATGCAGGTTTTTTTTTTTGTCCCTGTTTGTTTGTTTGTTTGTTTTTTCTCAGTTTACTGAAGGAGCCATCTGCTAAGAGGAGAGACAGTGCTTTTAAAACTGGAATAATATATGAGTGTGGGCCAAATATCTGGCTATTGAGTTAACTATACAATAACTGTGTATGTTATGTTGCAGATGAAAGTGTATAATGATCTTGGTAAGGGTGTTCTAAAAAATGCTTGGGAAGGATTCAATACGTCACTGTTTGCATATGGACAGACTGGTTCAGGGAAGTCATGGTCAATTGTTGGTTATGGTGCAAACAGAGGTAAACTATGCAAATTTTTTTTAGATTTCACACCAGGGGAGGGGGGTACTCCCTTGTATGGGCTATATTTGCCCCAAAGAGTATGGCTCTTTAGCCATTTTGGTCATAAATAGGGTATTGATTTTGGCCATTTTGGTATTAAATTGGGTCTGGTTTTTGCACTTTCTCTTGAATTGGGTTGGTCTTTAATAGGCTAAGGGTTTTGGAAAGCAGGTTGCACAGCCCCACCCAATTTTTGTGGGAGTACCCTCCAAGAGTTAACATCTGAGTCATATATATACAATCCCATCTACTTTTGTACACTTTAGGTAATTTAGGACTTTAAATAAGCCTTTGTCCTTGTTAAAAAAATGTCTAGGTTTTCTGTTTAGTGAGTTTTAATAAATAATTGTTTATATTCAATTTACAGGTATTGTGCCAATATTTTGTGAAGAGATTTTTACAGGAATAGATGAGAAAAAGAAGGGTGGAGATGAAGGACAGTATGAGGTGCATTTCAGTTCTACTCTTACTTTTTGCAGTGTTATCCTTAGTGGTGTGGAGTACTGTGTACAGCAACTTGAATTAATGTTAAGTTTTTACAGTATTTCAACATTTTATATTATAATCTTTAGGTGCTGTTCAGCATGCTGGAGATCTACAATGAGAAGGTGCGCGATCTTTTGAACCCTTCCAAAAATAAAGGAGGCCTGCGGGTTCGTCAACATCCCAAGAAAGGTTTCTATGCTGATGGACTTAAGACTGTTGCTGTTAGTGAATACAAGGACATAGAACAGCGCATGGAAGAAGGAACAACAAACAGGACTGTGGCAGCTACAAACATGAATGCTACAAGCAGGTATGCATGCTCAAAATAAATAAATAAATGTAATTTAAATATGTGAATAAATGAATAGGAAGTTACAGTGTCAAATGATGTCCAAAGAGAGGCTCTACATCCACTTTTTCCAGATCAGATTAGAATTTAGAACTCAGTTGGTTTTTGTGGAGGGAGGAAATACAGAGAACCCACAGAAATACCCTTGGACGAAGATGAGAAGCAACAAAAGACTCAACTCACTGATGATACCAGAGATCCAGGGTCACATTGGTGGGAGCTGAGCACTCTCACCACTGGGCCATCCCTATTCCCCAAAAATTGAAATTCCTCTTGATTTTACATTATAAAATTAATTTATTCTCAGGACCTTAACTGCTACTTGTAGGTGAACATCATCTCTTTAGAATTTAGATCAACTGTATACAAGATTGCTTTTAAGATTGTTTGAAGTTTGTTATCTGACTCATGTTTTGTTTCTATTGTTTTTTGCAGTCGTGCACACACAATAGTTGGCGTGACTTTTACCCAGAAGAGGAAGAACGAGGCCGGTGAAGAAACAGCTAAAACATCTTTGATCAACCTGGTAGACTTGGCTGGAAGGTAACTAGCTCGGCAATGACGCACTTTCAAGTTTGTGATTTTTTTAAGGTTGCGTCTCTGTCTATTAAAAGTGCATTACTTACTGGCAGATGTGTATGGCATTTTTTTTAGCTCTAGTTGTTGGCTGTTGTTGATAATATTATTTTGTTAATAGTGAGCGTGCAGACTCTACTGGAGCTACTGGTGACAGATTGAAGGAAGGAGCGGCCATTAACCAATCTTTATCCAGCTTAGGAAATGTTATTGCAGGTCAGTTGAAAAACTATTCTTCCTTATTTAGTACATTCCCTGGGGTCTCCCTTTTAAAATGGACAGGGGTACTCGTCATACCTTTTAGCGGTTAAAAAAGTTGTCTTGGTACCTCTTAGGGTGTTCAGTCTCAAAAGGTCCACACCGGGAGCTTTTTGCAGTACTGAACCAAAAAAAATAGGATAGGAAATATGTTATGTTGGAATTGTTACCTCTTAGGGGAGGAAAAAAAATTAATTTCATCTCAAGCCACGCCCACAAAACAGGATCTTGGTCTCTCTTAGGGGTTCTTTTCGAAATTTCCAGTGAGCAGCCCCATCCTTTTTATAATTATGGGAATCCCCCTCTGGGATATATTTCTTTTAAGTTTAATTAGCTCTGAAAAATTTGTAGTAATCTCTTTTCCACCAAACTTAATTACAGAGCATTGTTGCAAATGCAATGCTAATAGTATTACACATGTACATCCAGCCTATAAAACATTATGAACGTTCATTTCACTGCATTGGGAAGTTTTTTTTACTGATAACACTGAGGGTGGATAATACTAACACCTTGCTCTGAATTTCAGCTCTTGTGGACAAAGCAAATGGAAAGANAATGTTTTTAAGACACAGTTAACTTCACCAAAGTTTATGTTGGAACCTCTTGTCTCATCTTTGAGGTACTGAACAAACTATGTTCAGAAGTTTACACAGATATTTACAAATGTAAGTTGTAAAGCTTGTACTTCCCATGTGGCAAACTTTTCACTCAATAAGTGAAAGTTTTGTTTTTAAGAAATAAGTTGATTTTATTTCATTTTGTATGGAATTCATTTACTAATAAAACTAGTAGTGAATATGTTTCTGAGGTTGCTAAATTTTATACTTCTTGATCCAGATTGCTGCCATTAGTCCTGCGGACATAAATTATGATGAAACACTGTCAACTTTAAGATACGGTGAGCATTTTATGTGTCTAATAATGCATGTTTTTCAGTCCTTTCTGTCCCAAGCTTAAAATAAAAATCTTCTCTCTGATTGCCTTGTCATTCTTGTAAAATGTTAATAAAAAATGATTAGTTTTGAGAAATTAAGGGTCCCCCTTCTACTTGGGAGTGGTTTGAAATTTTTGTGTTTGGTTTTCTTCCCAGCCATTATTTGAGTTGGCTGAAGGGAAAAGGTCTGCTGCTATGATTGCTGTAAGGATTTAAAGCATTTTTTAAAATCTTACCTCATGTTTTGGGTTGTACATGACAACCATAAACAAGTCGAAGGATTGATTTGCACAAAACAAACAATTATTTGTGTCACAGACCTGTCATAAACCTGTCATATGTCTGTCACATGCACCAAGGGTTTACCACCCTCATAAGATTGTACAATGTAAATTTTTTCATGTGAATCTTCAGCTGACCGAGCCAAGCAGATCAAAACTACAGCCAAAGTGAATGAGGATCCAACAGAGAAGTTGATCAGGGAACTGAAAGAAGAAAACGAGAAGCTCATGGAAATGTTGAAAAAGTCCCAAGCTGGAGAGGCTGTCAAGATGTCGGCAGATGACGATGACGATGAAGATGATAATCAGAAAGAAGGAATGAGTGAAGAAGGTAAAAATCTATTTTATTTATTTGGTTTTATCTTGTTTTGGAGGACAGTGNGCGTACAACGCGTACTATCTTGAAGACTTTCGCTCCCACCACAAGGACCACTCTAGGGGTACGAATCTGACATAACGTCCACTGTTGCTCAGCCCCACCCCAGGGTCCACCTTGAGAAAACGAGGTTGCTAAGCGCTGCTTTGCATTGGGCGAAACGGAATTCATGCTGTCTAAAACTTTGCGAAAGCGGAAAATAAGCGCGCCTAAAACTACCCCTTACGCGCTACATGCGAGCTGGAACCAACCAGCAGTAATTGAAGTTAGGCCGGGTTGTTCAAAAGCCGGTTAAAGCTAACCCAAAGTTAACTGAAGGCTAAATTTCTCTTGTATAAAAATGTTTTTCACAACTTATATTTTGTGTAGTTTGAGATTATTCAAACCCAAAACAGAAGGCCAAACCATATAAACAGAAAACCTTTCCGCGAGGTTACAAAACCGAAATCAAAATTCTTACTAGTCCTGGGTTAGCTTAATCGGGCTTTGAACAACCCGGCCCTGCAGGTTCTCTCTGCAACGGAGGTTTCGATTCATTAAAACCTGTTCCCACTTGAAAGAGGAATTATATACTGACGAACTAATTGTCTTAATTTCAAGATGGCCCAAACAGAGCAGGCAACTCAAGACATGAGCAAGAATTGGGACGAAAGAGTAGCAGAATCCAAACAAGACATCAAGGTAAAATAAATCTACTACTGATCAGAAAAATAGTCAGGCAAAGGTTTTGAAGGTCATGCTCAAAGAATTTATGCGCGGGCAAGAAATTTCTTAAGGCGAGGATTTTTTTAAAGGATGTCCAAAATTTTGATAATAAGCGCCGTATCGAGCTGTAAAATCCAAAGGGAAATTTAGCTACAGGGTATGACATGGTTAGCGAGAATACAAAACTTGTTATAGCTTGTTATATGGCCAGGAAAACCGAGGAAATCGTTTTCTTTTTTCTTTTTTCATTAGTAGAACCAGGATCCACACTTCGATTCAGTTTAGCCATATTTCTTATAGCCTGCATGCGTAGCTAGCTTTCCCAGAACAACCAAGAGTTTTTTCCGCATTCTGGCCGCGCGAAAATTGGGGCGAGAGCAAAAAAAAATCGATGAAGCGGGGTACGTCATCCCAGTCTCCTTAGATTTTTTTTGTTGTGCTCTCGCCCCAATTTTCGCGCGACCAGACTTTTTTCGTTCGCCCACTCCTAGGAAGGCGGGCGATGCAGGGTTAATTTCTTCATGTTTTTCAACATCAGGACAAAGATGCTGAGAAGAAGGAACGCCAGTCAACTCCTCATCTCTGGAATTTAAACCCTGACCCTCAGCTGACAGGAATGATTATACAGATCATCAAACCTGGTCAGTCACTGTTGTTTGAAAATTATGCAATTTTACTGTTCCTCTGAATTCAGATTTCCACTATAAACGTTTTAAGGGGCAGTGTTGTGAAGTAAGCTGATGTGCCTTTTGTATATCTACTCCAGGAGTCGTTAAAGTTGGCAACAAAAAAGCTGACCCACCGGCAGATATTGCGCTCACTGGGTTAAAGTAAGTTGATTGTTTGTTTGTTTTATTTTTTTGCCATTTATAAATCTGTTCATAAAATATCAGTGTACATATATAAGGCAAGGAAGCCCAGGGACGCCAATAAGGCTTATGTAAAGGACTGCCTACACAGACCTAAGACTTAACAGAAGAATAAAAATGCTGTTATCAGTACACAAAATGATCACAATTTAGGATGAAAATTAGTTAAGCCAAGCTAAACGCGCAAATACGCCAAAAGCTAAGGAAGTGAACCGGTCTGAGCGTTTGTTCTCGTGTAGTCTTGCCATGGATATTTTGCATCGAAACTCAAACCGTGAATTGACCAAACTCCTCTGATATGCCTTCGATGTGTACCAGGCTTACATTTTTACACATTATTAGGATCGAAACCAGAACCAGCATTGTCTTTGTTTGTAACTGGCATGATGTAATAAAAAACTTTTTGTGCGTTGTTTATTGAAGTGCCGGCCATTTGTTTTCGTTTAGTATCCAGCAGCAACACTGTGAAATCAAAAATGAAGATTCTAAAAGGATCACCATCAAGACGATTGGCGAAGCGAAAGTCCTTGTAAATGGAGAACCAGTAGATGACGATGAAGAAGAAGAACTACACCATCTTGACAGGTTCTACTTTCTACATTGTTTTGTCGTGTTGATTGTATTACAGGGTTCTTACGGGTCATGGAAAACCTGCAAAGTCATTCGCCATTTCCACATCCCTAAGCATTGTCTTCAGTTTCTCTTGGGACGACTGTAATACCCAGGAGAAATGGGAAACAAAGGTTATGCAGGGGGTATTATGGGGGAATGTGGAAATGGCGAATGGAATTTTATTATTTCATTTTCCAGGCCTGGAAAGTCATGAAATCGAAGTGTGGGTCATGGAAAGTAAAAAATAAACACTAGCAAGCATTCTATGCGTCATAATATGGGAAAATACCTTCAATAATAGATTGTTTAAATTTTGACAATACTTTGAGAACAAACGCCTTGCATAGGTCATGGAAAACTTGGAAAGGTCATGGAAAGTCATGGAATTTTAATAGTTCAAAAGAGTAGGAACCTTGTATTAGCTGGACACATGAAGCCTCTACTCGTGTTTTTTCTCTTCCTTATCTATCTACTTTGTTCTTGTTAGAGTTATGTTTGGCACAAGTCATCTATACGTCTTCCATCATCCCGCTGAAATGCAGTCATCTTCCCTAAAGCAGGCGGACATTACATATGAAATGGCACAGGAGGAGATCGCAAAGAATGCTGGTCTTGATGTAGATGATCAGGAGTCCAAAGGTGACTGAGACGTCGCATTTAAAGAGGGGATGGGTGGGTGGGGAGTGGATTATCAGTGATATTTGATCAAAATGAAAATGAAACTAATTGTAACCTNACCATCTTGACAGGTTCTACTTTCTACATTGTTTTGTCGTGTTGATTGTATTACAGGGTTCTTACGGGTCATGGAAAACCTGCAAAGTCATTCGCCATTTCCACATCCCTCACAATACTCCTTGTTTGCCCCCCAAAATTGTGCGTAAGCATTGTCTTCAGTTTCTCTTGGGACAACTGTAATACCCAGGAGAAATGGGAAACAAAGGTTATGCAGAATTTTGGGGGGCAAACAGGGTGTATTATGGAGAATGTGGAAATGGCGAATGGAATTTTATTATTTCATTTTCCAGGCCTGGAAAGTCATGAAATTGAAGTGTGGGTCATGGAAAGTTATGGAAAAGCAGTACACTTTCTGAGAATAAAAAGGCAAAAAAAATCAAAGGTTGAAAAAAATAACAGACGAGTCAGAAAACCGGTTTTAATTCCAGTAAAAAATAAACACTAGCAAGCATTCTATGCGTCATAATATGG